ACCTATATCACAAACACTATAAACTATATACCCAAGCTTGAAGGTCTTCAATATAGCTTGACTTGGTAAACTTGCGGATGAAGTTTGAACTTTGATTTTTAACATTAATTGTATTGCTTCACTCCACTATTCCGCCAACCTCCATTGGATATGATCGTGAATGATCGATTCCATCCATCCTCCAACATATTGTTTGGCTGGATTAAATACAAAATACAAATACTAGACAAACAACATTAGATGTAAATTGTTTATAAATCATCATCAAAACAAAAAGGCCAACAATCGCCTATGCAGTTGGTGTTGTTAGTTGCTTCTTAGCTAATCCGGGGAAGGAACACTAGGCTACAATCAAATAGATCCTCCGGTATCTACGCTGTACTTAAAAGAAGTGTTTATGCTTTGGAAATGGAAAACATGTGCTAGAGGGATACGCAGATACAGACTAGATCGGTGACATTGATTTTGGGAAATCAACGTCAGGATACCTAACTACTTTTGCAGGGGGAGCTGTTTCCTGGCAATCAAAGTTATAAAAGTGCGTTGCATTGTCCACTACTGAGGCAGAGTACATCGTAGCTACTAAAGCTTGCAAGGAGATGCTATGGATGAAGAATTTGTTGCTTGAGCTGGGAGTAGATCAGGACAGGTATGTCTTGAAGTGTGACAACCAAAGTGCAATTTACTTAGCAAATAAATCAACTTTTCATTCCCACACAAAGCACATTGATACACGGTATCACTGGATCCGAGGAGCTCTCGAAGAAAAGCGCATACATCTTGACAAGATTCACACAGATGAAAACTGGTCAGACATGATGACCAAGGTAATACCATCCAAGAAGTTTGATGATTGCTGTCAAGGTGCTGGTTTGCTACTACCTCCCAATTAAGTTGGGAGGGGGTGATTTGTTGGGATCACTCCTTAATTGGAAAGATTCTAGAAAATTCTAGAACTTTCTGGAGAACTCTAGAGAAGTGTAGAATTCTCTAGAAGCATGTGGAATCCTCTAGAATATTCTAGAGATGTGTGGAGCCTTCTGGAACATTCCGGAAGAGTGTGGAATAGAATGAAGGAGTGTAGAGATTCCTTAGAAATCTCTAGAAAGTAAAGATATGTGTGGAGAATTCTAGAGAGCTAATCTCTACCCTTAGGTCAAATTAATCCCCACCACTCATTATGAAGGTGGAGTAGTATAAATAGGGGTGGAAGCATTCATTCCTATCCATCCAAGACAAGAAAACAATCCACTTCCTAGAGTGAGAGAAAACCTCTAATATAGAGAGTTGGAGAGCCTCTTTGAGAGAGAATTGAGATAGCTTGAGAGTCCCAATCCTCAAGTTCGAGTGAGCCACCGAAGTGAGACAGTTTTGTAAAATATAAATTCTTGTAATCTTACTATTCTTTTGTATAGTGGAAGAACCTCCATATTGGAGGACCATAAACTCTTGTGCTCCCATTACTAATAGTGGAAGAACCTCCATATTGGAGGACCATAAACTCTTGTGCTCCCATTACTATCTTAATTTATAAGTGTCTATCTTAACTTCACGAGGCGGGACTCCCATTACTATCTTAATTTATAAGTGTCTATCTTAACTTCACGAGGCGGGAAAGACCGAGTTTTCCCAACACAATGTACGTCCTGATGCGGCACAATCGTGGGTCATCCATAAAAGAATTTTAAGATCTATTAGAATAATTTTTATTTTAATAATAATTAATTTGATTCCGTGCAATCTTTTATTTTAGTTAGGATTTCTCTAGTATTTGAATTTGATCTCTTTCTAATCTAGTTAGGACTTTGCTCGATTGCATCTCTTAGTTTTGTTAGGTTTTGATTTGATTAGGATTTCTATTTGTTTCCTTAAGTGTTTAGTTGCCTTCTTTTTATTTTAATAATAATTAATACTTGTGTAGCTGGAGGATAACAATTAGCACCATCAGAATAAGTGACCTTGTGCTGGTTATAAAAATATGAAGGCATATACAGGCCAGGGATGCATTTTGATACGAACTGATAAAATTAAAATGGAGCCCTTGGTCTCACTAAATAAAGAGAAATGTGATAGAGCTCATTCAAATGATGCCAGAAAATCAGGGGAAATTATCTGGCATCCCAATCCTGAGGCTTAACAGCATTTCAACATTGGTATCTGTGAAATGTTAAATCTTTGATTTTAGGCATGGATACTGAGAATCAGATTCCAACATGGGAAAAGGGTGTTGAACATCGCAACCCTTCACTATATCTAACCACTACACGTGTATCTTATGTATGTATGTAATTTTTTATACGTATACGTTTTTTATTTACAAAAACAGAAGGAACTAAAATAGCTCCAAACTATCATGTTATACACCCCCTAGAAGTTTGCTAGTATTGCTTTCATAACTTCCTTATGTGTATGTTTGATATAGAGAAAAAAGAAGCTGCTATTTTCTCATAAAGTTGTAGAAAGTTCAAATAATAATAGTCATGAAGGAGAAGAAAACAGGACAGAAAGCGAACTTTCAAAATTGAAAAGAAATAAATGTTGGAAAACCATAGAAACGACTTTACCCTTTTCCTTTTTTTTTTTTTTTTGCTCAGCATATTGAAAATAACAAAGTTACAAATTCTTTTGAGAAATATATGGTTTTCATTTATTCTTTCTAAATAGATTTGAAGACGACTGTTGAGGATCTGCGTTGTCGTTTGGCTCAGAAGCCTGCTCAATCAGTCCGATCTTCTTCCTTCACAGTGCACCACCAAGGACCAAAAGGAGAGCTCGCCGATCTCCTTCACCAGTTACTCACAAAGGGGATCGCACAAAGGGGTTGAGAGCACAAAGCTCACAGGAGCACAAACTCGCAGAAAAGGGGGAGATCGCACACAGCAGAGGGAAGCTCAAGCTCAGATCTTCTCCTCACTGTCTCTTCTTCCTCTTCATCCCTCTACCAAGCTACTACCAACTCATTACCCATATATAGGGATGGGGGCAGCCGACAAGGGAGAGGAGCTAGGGAAGAAAACGAAGGAGGGAGCCGACCTAGGGATGAAATCACAGCGGCGGCCATCAAATCCAGAGATCGCGAAGACTTCCAGAGATCGCGAAGACTTAGGAGAAGGTGAGAACCATCGGGTAGGTGAGGGAAAATAGAGGGGCTAGGGCACAAGTGGGGGAGCTGGGCATTTAGTGGAATGGGCCAACTTATTGGGCCAACAAAACAACCAACAACGACTTTTCAATCACCAGATAACTTAAATCCAAAGTGTAATCATGCTTCTTTCTTTTAATATTTGGATGCTTCCGGCGAGAATTTTAAGTAGGCCCAAGAAACAAATAAACAAGGCTTTTATCCCACATTTTAGGGTTAGCCAATAGATCATGTTTTTCTTTTAGTTTTATCAAGAGCTACCTCCCCCATTAAGTTTATTACTATCATAACCATTGATTAAAAAATCTCGTTGTTTAACTCGTACCTAACCTAAAAGGCCTTAAACGTTACATATATAACCTTATGAAACAACTAAGACACAACATAACTATATGTTATTATAATATAATATGCGTTATTCAATATAACTTATGCTATTTCAATTTAACATGCTTAATTTCAATATAACTTATATTATTTCAATATAAGTTCAAGAGACTTGAGGGTATATCCTTACTTAAAACTTGAAGTAGCTAAGTAATTATTTCTGAATTGTTGTTAGGTCTTCATGTCTTGTTTGGGGGTGACAACATTATCTGATTGTGAAATTACGAATATGATTGATAAAAAAATTAAATGTAGTTATGAGCGAGCTATAAATTTATGATTATATATTTGAGTGCAAAAATGCCTTAAGGACCCCAAATAGGGGACCCAAGGGGGGACAGGTGAGGTGTCCCCCCTGAATGCATGATGTGAGGTGTCCCCTGAATGCATGATGAACAGTGCATCATGCATTCAGGGGGGCACCTCACCTGTCCCCCATTGGGTCCCCTATTTCGGATCCCTGTAGCAGCACCCATTTGAGTGTTCAATTGTGATACTTCCTAGTAAATCTATACAGCTTGTATTAAATTTAAAAAAATTATTAAAATATTTCTATATTATGATAGTTTGTTCCTAATTATTAAAATCATTATGAATATATTTTATATTTTCTTAAATTGAATAGTAAGAGAATATTTTGTCCTAATGAGTAGGTTAATTTTAAAATCGGGACTCACATTCACATGAGTTAGGGAGTGGTTGGGAATTAAAATGAGTGGATGAGAATATGACACCTCAATACCAATCACAAAATTTATATTTGGTACCAAGCATATACATTTCACACACACACACACATATTTATATAACTAATAAACAAAATAATCTACATTATGCGTTATATTTTTTGCGTTTTTTCTTGAATCCTTAGCAGGAAGTAGAGCGCTACATTATACGTTATCAGTATTTTCAATATTGATCATAACCATCATAACACTTTAGTCGTAAAAAGTTAGAATCACAATAAAGTGTTAGTTTTAAATTGAAGGAGACAAAAATTCTGAGGCGTGAATCACTTTCCTTAAAGAAATAGTTGCTTCGGGTTAATGCAAATTTTCTTCCCAGGATACAACAAAAAATGAAAATTCCAGTAAGCAAATCTAGAATTTTCCTTAATTCGTTGTGAAACAAGTTTGTAATATTGCAGAAGTTTTTAATAGAAAAGATTCAGAAAAGAATTGTAAATAGATATCTGAAAACATAAACTATTTATAGATTTGAAAAGGTGCTTCCAATAGTCACAACTTTTCAAAACACCCTTTGAAGCAAACAGCCACTTTTCAACAGTCACTTGTCTTTTCATAATTTTTTTAAATTCAAAATAACATTAAAATAAAATATATTCAATATATAATTATCTATCTACCCTTTAAAAGAGGGAGTCCACGAAAAACTTTACTCCCCAAAATAGCCTTACCCCCAATTTAATTACCAAAAATATCCCAAAATAGCCTCCCAAAATACCCTTTCATCAGTTACGAATAGACTTCTCCTTTCAATTCATCAGCCCATTCAAGTCATCGGTCCTTTTAATTCCTCCTCCTCCAAATTACCAAACTTTACTCCTTTCAATTCCTCCTCCTCCTCCTCCTCTGATCTTCCATTACCTCCAACAACTTTTAGAGATGAATTCAATTAACCAGTTCATCCGTTACCCTTCATCGCGGCCCCTCTTTTCGATTCTTACGTTACGCAGTCGAACGATCTTAAGCCATCAATTTCAAAAGATGAGTGTTATTTCCCTATTCATCAACCCGTCTCCGCCATCATCTCTTCATTTGTTAGAATTTTTGCATTGGGTACAACCAGCAAGGAATTTCATTGAAGAAGGTATTCCTAAATTTTTACTACGCTTTTTGCTCAAAATTCATCATCTCTCCTTTTTGTTCTTCATTTCTCTCATTGGTTCTAATTTTAAAGAAAAAATTCATTTAATTTTGTTCTAATTAGCCATCATTTCATTTTGTTCTAATTCAACAATAGGTCAAGGATTGTCCGAATTAGGGCTTGCTTCAAGTCTTCATCTTGCTCCTGAGTCAGTTTCAACAGGTAAAAATTCAATTTTTATTTTTTTTGAATTTATGGTTTATGTCCTTTTAGTTAAATTTTTTGAATTAGTTTATTTTATTTTAAGCTTAATTGCGGAAATTAGGGGTGGACGACTTTGTTAGATAGTATTTTCAGACACAAAAGTGGAAACTTGACTGAGTTTCGTAGATAGTATTTGCAGACAGAATTTTGAGCTGACTTGAGGAAATTAGGGGTGGACGACTTTGTTAGATAGTATTTTAAGACACAAAAGGGGAAACTTGACTGAGTTTGTTACATAGTATTTGCAGACACAAAAGGGAAACTTGACTGGGTTTGTTATATTCCAACTATTTGTTTGCTTATATTGTTAGACATATGTAGACAATTAATTTACGTAGAATTAGGAAGAAAACATCATGTTTGTTGTATAAAATTTGTGTAAATGAAGTGGTTGTTCAAAGACAACAGCAGGAGCAAATAATATACCAAATCTGTAGAGGAGTATGGTACACAATGCATAGGAGAACAGAGTAAAGAATCTATTCGATCAGATCCACACAACTGAAATGAAAAATTATGTTGATTAAATAATAATGACATAAAAAAATTAGAAAATCATTTTTTGTTTTCATGAACTGATAACAGAGGTGAATAATAAGCAAGACCTGTAGCAGACACATGACATGCAACTATAGTTCAAGTATTTAAAGCTATGATGCCTCAAAATAATGATTAAATCATTAAAAAGCTATCATAGATCTTGACTGAATAAGTACATAAGTAAATCATGCTAGAACAAAGAAATAAAGAGGTAAATGTAACCTTTCCAAGTACAGAGTCATGCCCAGAAGTTAAAGTAGCTCATAATTGCACAACAAGCGTATCGTTTTTGAGTATCCACTACCACAAATGCTCAATTGCATATACATGCTAATTGATAAACACAAGAAGTGATAAAATTTCTCAAGGAGACTTTCCAATTTTATACACTTCAATTTATTTTGGGGGTGAACATTCAAATTTTGTTGAATTCTGTTATAATATCGTCTTTGAACACTATTACCTGTCATTCTTGAAGCAAATTTTTTCACATCTACAACCAGCATGTTTGGCTGAAGCAAACAAGTACAAACAATCTATTATTGACCAAAGCCTTAATCTTTCAAGTGTACATTATGTGTTTCCTATTACTATTACTATTGATCGTAATATATTTTATTGTTGTGTGGAAATAAGCATATTATCATCAATGTATGTGCAGTTTAACTTCCTCTTGATATATTTCAAGTACATAAAACAATCCACTGCAAGAAAAGAAAACAACCTTTCCTCAAATACAATGGCCAGTAACTTATCCTGTAAACAAGGGAAGGTTTATTGGAAAAATTGCCAAATGGTAGTGAAGATCAAAAAAAAATTTGAAACATTTTAAATACATAAATAAATAAAAAGTTTACCAGCCACCCTGCGATTCCTAGAACTTCAGTAACATCAACTCCATGATGGAAGATTGGTTTAATTGTCATCTGGAAGTATGGTGCCTCGACAAAGCATACTCGTACATGTCCAATAAATGGCCAGTGCTCAATAAACATCAGACCAACTAAAATCTACTTTGCCAAGGAAAAAGTTTAGCACATTGAATAATGTAATATGAAGCATCAAGGGCAACAGGATTAACAGCAGCTAATTAAAAAAGCTACAATATATAAGGTTTATTGATTCTTTCATCAACTTTTTCCTTTCCCATTTGATTCCTACGCTCAACAGGATTTTGGTATAGAAGATCGTGCCCCCTTCAAACACCTCAGCTGGGATCTTGCTTCCCGAGAAAACCATCAATGTACCAACTTTAAAGTTTAAATTACGTGCCTTTTGGAAAAGTTTGCCGTTTTCCACCAATTTTGTTACTGGGTCTTGCTCCAAAATTGAAACTTTGACATGGGTGACTCTTCTTTTTTCTATTAATTGTTATTTTTGTTTTTTCGTACTTATGTGCTTATTTGCATTGTTTTTTAATTAAATGGTTGCTAATTGCGGAATTTTCATGTGTCTAGATGATTATGCATTTTTTTTAGTATATATTGTTGTATACATGATGCAAAACAAAATGCATTAGAAATTCATTTGTTAGAAGTATGAAACAAAATTATGCAGCATTGTCAATCTATAGAAATGTATTGGGTCTACTGCTGTTATGTTGGTTATAGAGTTAAAAGAACACTTGACAAAGAAACCTTTCATATCTTGGAACAAGGACACGCTAAGACAATGTAAATCCATGAGAAGTTGTTATCATAACTGAAAAGAGTTTTAAATAATGAAATGGTCTGTAAAACAATTAATTTTGTAAGTGTGTGGCAAATGATATTAATTGATGCGAGTCAAGGTCACATAGTTTCTCAGAACGAGGTCAGGCTAAGACATTGTTACTATATGATGAAAAACAGCTTAGTTGTTTGGGCTTCCATGTCTTACGACCTGCAATAGAAGATTGACTTGCGCCTCCAAAACCACCATTGTCCCTTTTCAAGATCTTTGTTTTATTAATTTATAATTGCTTAGGACATGATATGATTTGTTTAAACCGACACGTTGCTTTATCACGGAAACACAAAGCTTAGGACATGATATGATTTGTTTAAACCGACACGTTGCTTTATCACGGAAACACAAAACTGAAGCTCTATTCTTTACTCACATGACATGGGTACTTCAATGATACAATACCTGTTTCACTTGAATGCAGTCATCAAAACAGTCGAATTGATTTCTATCGTTCTGAAAGAACTCAAAATTTGATAGAAGATATATAACGGTCGCAGCTCCCTCTCACTCACGCAAAGTTTTCGAGTTTGATTTCTGGATTTATTTTTGCAGGTTTATTCGAAATATTAGCTTATGGGGGTGAAAAGAGTATTTATAATATATATTATTAATTTTAAAAGATACATGCGGAATGCAGATAAATGTTGATCTACCTAATATCAGGTTCAAACTTGATTTGTATTATACGACAATGAATACTATGAGAAATAATTTATGCTCTGTATTACTTATAGTTTAGAACTCAAAAAACCCTTAGTAAAAGACAATGAATACTATGAGTCTACTTGATACTTTGTTGAAAACTAGCACTTTACTTCTCTGTCAATATCTGTCCATATTAGGTTATATCATAAACAGTTAGTAACTCTATAATTCCTTCCTTGCAATCTATTGAAAATACAAGCCATGCTTAGCGTCCTGCAAGATAGTCAAAATTATTTCCCAGAGTATCATATTTAATATTCCATGACCTCCGGGCAACTCTTAAGGTTTTTCACGATCCATGTTTCACATAACTGTACCATCTCCGCTGATTGATTTTACTATATTGCTGTTTCAATTGGCACGATCCAGTTTTTCCAATTAGGCTTGATCTTGTGCACTTCCACCTCTACACTCTGTTTTTTTATAAACAAAATCCTAAAATGTAGAAAATTCAGAAATACTAACAAAAACAAGAAAAGATACGAAAAGGACATTCTAACGCAAACTGTGAAGGGATATCATTGTTTAACAAGGGAAACTTGACGTACAAAGTTGCATAAGGCATCCAGGGTGATATGATTTGTTTAAACCGACACGTTGCTTTATCACGGAAACACAAAACTGAAGCTCTATTCTTTACTCACATGACATGGGTACTTCAATGATACAATACCTGTTTCACTTGAATGCAGTCATCAAAACAGTCGAATTGATTTCTATCGTTCTGAAAGAACTCAAAATTTGATAGAAGATATATAACGGTCGCAGCTCCCTCTCACTCACGCAAAGTTTTCGAGTTTGATTTCTGGATTTATTTTTGCAGGTTTATTCGAAATATTAGCTTATGGGGGTGAAAAGAGTATTTATAATATATATTATTAATTTTAAAAGATACATGCGGAATGCAGATAAATGTTGATCTACCTAATATCAGGTTCAAACTTGAGAAACTAAAACAATCATCTGTAATCAAGAACCATAACCAAATCTAATGTCTAACATATATTAAAGAGATGTGTTATTTCAATATTAGTCCCTCACATCTTCAATATATTTCATTATATAAGAATTTAATTTACTATTGATAATACTTGAAAATTGCTTTAGAAAAAGAACTACTTCAAATTTAAAATTTTATGTACACCTGAAAATAGAAAAAATTACATGTTTGAGCAATATAGATATGTGGCATTTGAGCTAACTATAGTTCACAAGGGAATTCTTGGCAAGATACGATGGTTCCCAGACTCTATAGAGATATTCTGTAAACTCTATGTTTAATTGTTCTTTGTATTATTGTTTACATGTTTATTTTGTTGATTTTGTCTTTCCAATTTCGTAAGATCTTAAAGTTTTATTGAAGTTTTTTTTTTAGATATTAATATGTCTGCTACTTGATCTTTTTCTCATCTCCATATTCCATTTTCTAGATGATGCTTTACTCTGAATCTTTGGAAACTCAATTCCTATTGACTTAAAGTTTCAGTTAATAGTTCTTTGAAGCATTTGCATACAACATGCTGTTAGAAATTCCTTGCATCCATTCATTGACTTGATGCTATGGATTTCTCAATCAAGTGTCATAGAATGGATAAAGATCTGAAGCATTTTTAATATTGAGACATAGACTCAGTTATGTGTTGAATTTGTTTGTCTTAGATGCCGGAGGAATGGTGGGTTGAATTTGTTTGAAAGAATTCATCTTTATCAAGCTCTTTATGCTATTTCTTGCGGTTTATATTTCAGTTTTACATACTATTGAGGCAGAGAGACATACATATGTCGCAAAAGAAATATGTTTTCCTATGCTACCATGAGAACATAATATTACATTATGAAATCATACGCAACAGTATGCAAAGAGAAGTTAATGTTGTTGTCCATCTAAATTAAACAGTTTCACATCTCACCAATAACAGCTAGATATATCTTCAGCATTCGTGCTGAGCATGTTTATACTTCCTCCTATGATTCTGATTCGCTTATAAATCCATAACATGGCTGACGCCGATGTCTCACCACCCCATTAGACGCCTGTAAATGACAAGGTTCAGCATTTGAGGATGGGCTTGTTTAGTCAATTGGTGCGAGATACACAATAGTCTTTCCGGTCCCAGTAACGGCATTAACAAGTATATAATCTCCATTTAAAGGGGGGAAACTTTTTAAAAATAGAAATTTAAAATTTCCAATGAAATATATAGAGAAATTTCAAATTTCCAGTGAAATATATAGAGAATTAAAAAGGATACAAATCTTTCCCCTCGATTACAACTGGAATTGCATGCGACTGGATCTGAGTTTGGACTTGAAATCCCATTTTTTCAAAAAAAAAAAAAATTAAGCAATAAAGACATGAATCAAAGAAAAACTCACTAAAGTAATTATACCTTGAAGATGTTGGTATAAAACCTGTTATTGTTATCTTAGTTTTATGCTCTCAGTAAAGGCTTTTATATTGTTATTGTCTGTAAACATTTCCTTGCGTGCTCTGGTATAGTAGTTCATATGTACAATTTCTTGCAGGTTATTTGACCTAAAAGACAAAAAATCATGCATATTAAGATTTATGAAACAATGGGGGATGTGTTATGAGGGAAATCTTGGCAAGATATGAGGATTCCCAGGCTCTATAGATGGATATGTCGCTATTTTTAGAGTTGTTTAAAACTTACACACTGCATATGTTTTGGTCATAACAACAAATGCGAGATAAGATATATTTGCTTTGTTTCATGATAGAATCCCATTAGACTCAATACTCCCTGATCTTCTTAATTTTTTTTACTTGTTTTAATGCACACATTATACCGTTCCTAATAATTTAACATTTTTTCATATTAATGCAGATATTCTACTTGGTTGAATTGCCTTTTTTTGGAAATATTTCTAAATTTGTCGGTGATTCAGGTGAGTTAAGCAACTTTCTTCTATCTTTTCTTTATTTTATTCATAGTGATAGTAACTCTATTTCCTTGTATTTATCTTCTTCTTCACTTCAATATTTATTATTATTATTATTATTATATGACTTAAAAAACAGAATTAACCTTAGCATATGAGATATTTTTGATTATTGATGCATGTATACTGCATCAAATTTAAAAAAAAAACTTAAATACTATTGAACATCAATTAAAATATAGTTGCTCTCAAATTATATTCATTGCTATACTTATGTTAAATAAAATCAATAATTTAACGCATTAAATTTTCTTTTCCTTATAGAAATTTACATTCTACTTCTTGGATTGTATAATCACTATACATTTGCATAAGAGTACCTTCTTCCAAATGACTTCCAACCAAGGTTTGAATTCAACATAAATAAATATATATTATTATTGTTTTATGTGTATTTATGTTTATTAATAGTATATTTCATTATTTTTTAACAGAAGAACAGAGTCTAATACATGAGGGTAGAAACACCAAATATAATCAGTTAAATGTTGATCAGAAGAGAACTTACATTCAGAAGGTCATTAATAATAATAGAAAGAGGAAAAGTAATGATTTTGCTGGCAGTAGTACCAATAGCAAGCGAAAACGTAAGATTGATTTGTTTTGTGGAGCGCAACAACGGGAATATGAGCATGGAGGTTTGTATAGATTAATTTTATATTTTAGTAAAATAATTACATGATTTTATATATCTAAATTTATTTAACACTAAAAACTATTCTTTTTTGTCTAGGTCAAATTAACCATGAACCAGTATGTTCTTTATTACATAAACTACGCACTTCAAAGTCTTGTTCATTTTGTGGAGCAAAAAAGTTTGAACATGAGCCACCAACATCCTGTTGCCACAATGGTGAAATCCACCAAGCAGATGTGAATGTTAATGACGAGTTATATGTCCTTTATACAGTACAAACCCAAGAGGCAATTGAGTTTCAAAGACAAACCAGAAAGTATAATAGTATTTTCTCATTCACATCATTTGGGGCAAGGTTTGATAGAGAGCTTGCATCAAACAAAAAGGGTATTTTCACATTTAGAGCACAAGGACAAATATATCATAATCTACCCTCTCTAATTCCAAAAGAAAATAAGCCCTCCTACTTTCAACTTTACTTCTACGATACGGAGAATGAGTTGCAAAATCGAATGGGAATATTAGATAATGCAAACATGAGTACGACTACAACTAAAAGATTGATGGATATATTAGAAGGAAACCCATATGCAAAATTTCTACGGAAACTGAATGATTTTCCATCTCTTGAAGACTTCAAGATCATTATAAATAGAGATGCTACAGTAGATCAACGTGTTTATAACTCGCCAACAGTGGATCAGGTTGCAGCTGTCTGGGTAGAGGGAAATAATGAAAATGTTCCATATGAGAGAGAAATAGTCGTCCATTCACACTCCGGCAAGAATCATCAAGTTAAGCACTATTTTGGTTGTTATGATCCTTTACTATATGAAATATCATGTACAACTACATAGGTCAGGGCTATTTAATAATATATTAAAATTTCGGCATAATAAATAATACTTAGTGTCTCGATCTTATCCAAGTTTGAATTTGTTTTTACCAAACATGCATAGCCAGACAATATTCCCATCCTTGTTTGTATGCACAAGCATACAAAATACAACCATGGCGATTCAAATACCCAACTTTGAATAGATATCTGATCTTTTCCATTCTCCACTTTGTTATATAATGAGGCTTTGTGGAGCTCTTGTTAAGTTCAGCATAGTTAGAACTTAGAACTACCCATCTAAATATTATTCTCTTTTTTATACATTTATACTCAAATGAACACACATTGCTACCTTACTTTTCTACATCCTCATTCTTTGATGTCTAAATTTCACAATTGTGCTAATTATTTTTATAAGCAAATGTTAAGAGATGAACTTGAATTTTTTGATTTTCGTGGTAGAAGGAGCAAAATAATAATTAAAAAAAGCTTTCAGTTGACCTTTTGTAATAATATTTCCCTGTCATCTTGATGAATGTATCTACTTTCTTTTCCCATTTGTATCTTGTATAACTAATTTGTAGCCGAGCAAACAAAATTTGGCATCGAGTCTTTGTTCCTGTTCTTGTTGTTGTTCCTGTTTAATCCTTATTCTGAGATTAATTTCTGTAAGTCTTGTTTGTTTGCATGTTTGTTTGTCTTGTATAACAATAAAGTGTGGAAATGTAATAATTTTAATAGTGACTCGTTTCTTTTGACTTTTGTTCCAAAAACATTGGATTCATTCAACTTTGTTTTTTATTTTAAATCTGCAGGTACTCAGGTCCTACAGTTGGATCTCATGCCAACTCTTCCATATTTTCTCCCATTGGTGGGGGCATCTTAAGTGCAAAGGCCTCTATGCTACTGCAGGTTTCACTCTTACCTTCTGGGTTTATAAGATACCTCTATTTGATATCAATTTAAAGTCAAACTTGAAATACTTTGGGCTGTGAATTTAACTCTGATATCTTTTATTGTAGAATGTGCCACCGGCTTTGCTTGTTCGGAAAGCCAACGGCTGTAGAGGGATCCTTTGTCATGGCTTGGTGAGATTGCTTGGTTTATTTCTCATGCAGATGGTAGAGCTATTAAAAAGATCTTGTGTGCTGCCTTTGCTGCTGCTTTGTATCATATTTGGAGCGAACGAAATGCTAGGAGATTTCAGCCTTGTATTAGCAGGGTTAATGTCATTGTGAAGAGGATTAAGGTTGATATTATAGCTAGAATGTTATTGGTTGGTCAACTTGTAGTTGTTTTTTGGTTTTGCGAGTTGAGTGGATTGTTTGATTCTTTCATAGAGTATGCTATATAGCTGGGTATGCCCAGTTTTTGATTGTACATGAAAGTTAACATGTTAACGAAAATTTCATTTACCTTTAAAAAAATTGAATCAATTCTTTACAAAAGTAAATAGTCCCATAACTATTTTTTTATTATATTGTAGGTGGGTAAATAGCATTCTGAAGCCAAAATTATTTTTTGTACAGAATTTGGGATGTCATCAGGATTATTGGGATCCTAAACTCGCGCATAAACCATAATTTCTATGCTAGAGAGCATTCTTCTTAGCACAACATTGATTAGAACACAAACAAAGATCTGAATGTAACTTTTCCTTCATTTGTCGTAGACGATGTAACATGATTGATTCATTGCAAATTATTGTCCAATACAACATAAAACCTGGCACAATAGAAGAAAATATGTATGTAGATATTAGGGTGCATAACAAGTCAACAGAGCTTTAATCATGAATGATGCTGGTCAACTAACTCTTTATTGAGCTTGCGTTTTGGGTATGAACCAATTTTCAGCATAACAATTTTCAAATAAATTAACATTACTATATATACATTCTAATGCTAAAGATCTGTTTTATTTATTTGCCTGAGCCTCATCACAATATCTGATACTTGCTCAATCTTAATCAATCCAGCAAAATATATAGGATTCACATTGACTTGTATTTGGGGAATGATTGCTGCTTGTTCATTACGCTTATCGACAAGGTCCTCGACAAATTTATTCAATCTCCTTCGAATGAAATATCAGTTGTTTCTAATGTAGTTGTGGAGATTAGTGAACCAAACACAAAACCTCTTAGCACAAATTAACAAGATGAAGAGAGAGCAACAAAGCCAAGCAAAACAATACAGTGCACGGTTAATGATCAATGGATAGCAAAGCAAAGGGAAAAGATCTCTGGCAAATACATATGAAACACAAAATGCAATCAGAAGCTTCAAGATGAAAAGAAAATCCAAGGTTTTTCAAATAAATTAGTGCAAAGACTTAGAAAGGCTATAACATCATAAGCTTGGATTTACATACACATCATCAAAATTAACTTTTAGGTATATTCTTGTTATAGTATTTGATTGATCAATCACCTTTTAGATACAACAACTCTACTATTGCATAACTGATCCCTACATATAAATTTATTGTTAAAACATTTAAAATTATATCTAATAAACTTATACATATATCAATTTACGCATTGGCCTTATGGTTTCTTGTTATTGTGTTTGATTGATCAATCAACTTGTAGATACAACCACTCCAATATCGCATAATTGATCCTTAAATATAAACGTATTATTCAATCATTTTTAATTTTTAGCTTATGTTCATATATATTGCGTATATTCATTAAATTTATACCAAATCTTTCCATGAATATAATTATAATTAAAATTAATATTAAAAATTTTACCACGTGCATTGCACGTGCAATCTAACTAGTATATATAAAAAATAGAACATTTAGGCGGCAGCGGCAAGCGTGCAAAGTGCTAAGTGCGTCTAATAATCGCGTCAAAATCGCGCATTATTCGCGCTACCTGCACGCGGGTTTAGAAGCCTACACTTTGATCCATTATTCAAAGCCCAATAAGCATTCAATGCTTTTAAACCTCTAAAAGAATGTTCAAAATTCCAATGTGGGACTATCTTGTTTTTTACAAATAAATACTGACAATCCCGCACTTTGTTTGAAAAAACATTTTAATAGTATTATATTTAAAAATAATCTGCAATATGTACAAAATGAGATAAGTATACATATGTAGAGGTATCTTTCGATTTAAACCTTTACTTAGTACAAATACCTCAAAGTTCTATCAAAGTCGTTAGTTGCCTTAACATTAAACTAATTACTCTTTGTGATAGAACCGGAGAATATTGTACATACACTAATCTCTTGTTTTAATGAGAATTAATATTTTAGCACTGTTATTATTCCTGGTTCATGAACTCTTTTAAAGAACAAACCTTTAGCTCTTTTAAGAAGCGGCACCACTTCTAAGTTCATATAGGTGAAACGTCTACAATGTGTTTTCCATTACTTTAAACACACAACAATAATGTATTAGACTTTCATTAAGAGCATAACTCATCCTCTTATTCCGTAATGGACGATATTGACATTATCTTTTAGGGCTTAATATGTCAATATTAATCAATCACTTTCAGAAACTTGTTATTACCCATTTAAAAAATTTAACCAGTTTAGTTCTAGTAAATGGTTGGATTACCATTCCTGGTGATTTTAAATATAAGGTTTCAGCCCCATTTCACTTGATGTCATCTTTACTACCTCTCTTGCTAGAGGTTTTGTAAATGGATCAGCCAAATTTTTATTTGTCTTGACATAGATAATAGTTATGACACTATCTTGTATCAAGTGTCTCACATATTCATGTCTTAGACTTATGTGTCTAGACTTACCATTATATGTACAATTATAAGCCCTTGACAAAGTGGCTTGACTATCACAATAGATAGAGATAGGAGGCATTGGACTCGGCCATAACTTAATATCTAGCAATAAGTTCCTAATCCATTCAGCCTCTTTACCAGTTGCTGCTAAAGCAATGAATTCAGATTCCATGGTGGAGTGTGAGATACATGTTTGTTTCTTGCTTGCCCAAGAAACTGCTCCTCCACCAAGTATAAAAATCATTCCAGAAGTGGATTGGTTGTCTCCAACACTAGCCATCCAGCTTGCATCGGTGTATCCCTCTAATACAGCCGGATAATCATTATAGAACAAACACAGATTTTTGGTTTTCTTTAAATAGATAATCATTATAGAACAAACACAGATTTTTGGTTTTCTTTAAATATCCAAAAATCCTGGAAATACTTTTCCAATGTTCTACACTTGGATTACTAGTGTATCTACTTAATTTGCATAAAAATCCTGGAAATACTTTTCCAATGTTCTACACTTGGATTACTAGTGTATCTACTTAATTTGCATACAACAAATGTAATATCAGGTCTAGTACAATGCATAGCATACATTAAAGAACTAATTGCACTAGCATACTCAAGCTATGCTACAGCTCTACCAGAATTGGCAGCCAATTTGGCACTGGGATCGAAAGGAGTGTTAACTTCTTTAAAACCAAGATGATTAAATTTATTCACTATTTTTTCAATATAATGTGATTGGCTTAAAGAAAAACCCCCACTATGTTTTCTAACTTTGATCCCTAAAATAGTATCCGCTTCTCCTAAATCTTTCATTTTAAACATAGAAGATAGATACTCTTTAGTCTCATTTATGCCAATCATATTAGTGCCGAATATTAACATGTCATCCACATACAAGCAGACAAGCACACCATATTTATCAGTGAATTTAGAATAAATACACTTATCAGCACTATTATGTTTGAAACCATAAGATAGAATAACAGAATCAAACTTTTCATGCCATTGTTTTGGTGCTTGTTTAAGACCATAAAGAGATTTAATTAGTTTACATACTTTTCTTTCATTTCCTGGAAGAATGAAACCTTCCGGTTGTTCCATGTAAACCTCCTCATTTAAATCTCCATTTAAAAAAGCAGTCTTGACATCCATTTGATGCACAAATAACTTATGTATAGATGCCAAAGCAATAAGAATTCTAATAGATGTTATACGTGCGACAGGTGCATATGTATCAAAATAATCTATGCCTTCTTTTTGTCTAAACCCTTTGGCTACTAATCTAGCCTTAAAAGCTTGAACAGAACCATCAGAATGATATTTTCTTCTAAAAACCCATTTACATCCTATTGGCTTTGATCCTTGAGGTAAATCTACTAAAATCCAAGTACTATTTCCCATTATAGAATCCATTTCATCATTGACAGCTTCTTTCCAAAATGAAGCATCTCTAGATGACATTGCTTCTATAAAGGTTTTAGGATCATCATCTGGATTAAAACTTATAGGATGTTTATTTAAAACATTATTATTCCTATCACCTTCAACAAGAAAAATAATTTGTTCAGGAGAAATAAAATCTGAAGGTAAAGATTTCTCTTTTCTTACTCTAGTACTTCTTCTTGGCTCTGATATTTCTTTAGATATATTCGTTTCCTTAGCATGAAAATCAGAACTAGAAAAATTATTAGAGTTAAGCAGAATAGGAACATTTTCAACATTTTCAGAATCTACAGAAAATTTATTTTCAAAGAATTCAACATCTCTAGATTCAACAATAGTATTAGAAGATAAATCAAGTAGTCTATATGCTTTGCTATTTTCAGCATATCCGACAAAAACACTTTTAAAGGCTCTAGGTCCAAGTTTTGTTCTTTTAGGATCAGGAACTCTATAATAAGCCAAACACCCCCACACTTTAAAATATGACAGATTAGGTTTTCTACCTTTCCATAACTCATAAGGGCTTATATTTGACTTTTTAGAGGGAATCCTATTATGAATATAACATGCTGTGTACAAAGCTTCTCCCCATAAATTTAAAGGTAACTTAGCATTATTAAGCATACAATTTATCATTTCTTGTAAAGTTCTATTTTTTCTTTCGGCTAAACCATTCTGTTGGGGAGTATAAGGTGTTATACATTGATGAATAATGCCATGTTCTTCACAAAAATTATTAAAATTATCAGAAAAATATTCACCACCTCTATCAGAATGTAATACTTTAATTTTCCTTTTAAGTTGATTTTCAACTTCTGTTTTGTATTTTTTAAACATATCAAAAGCTTCATCTTTTGTTCTTAAAAGATAAACATACATATATCTACTGCAATCATCAACAAAAGTGAAAAAGTATCTTTTTCCTCCTCTAGTTAACATACCATTCAATTCACATATATCAGAATGTATTAAATCTAAAACTTTAGAATCATTGCGAGAAACACTTGGAAAAGATTTCTTTGTTAATTTAGACTTAGCATAAATTTCACATTTATCAAATTCACCGTTAAAGTTAATGAAGTCTAACTTTCTCATATTTTTCAAATAGCGAAAATTTAAATGTGCTAAGCGATCATGCTATAAATATGAAGATTCAACAATATAAATAGAAGATATAACTTTATTATTAATACTTAGTTG